AATATTAAAGTATCGTATTATTATAGTAAAAATCATTTTGTTTCATTCCCTTTAATTTAAATAATTATCTCTCGATAAGAATTTAAAAGATAATTAAAAAAAATAAAAATAAAAATAAAAAAACACCAAAATGTTACGTTGTTTCTTTTATGTTTGCAAACATGAAAATTAATTATGTAATTTTGTATTATCAGATAAAATGATTATAATATTGTTATTGATTAAATTGTATTACATTGTAATGAAAATTATTATATGATTTTTATTATTATAAATATTATTAATAAATAAATATGTACAAAAATAAAACCTATACTTTTAAAGATTGATATAGTTATTTTTTGTATATTAATACAAATAATATAATTAATACAAACATTAATTTAACACTATGTTACGTTGTTTCTCATATAAGTTTGCAAAAATAAATTAAATATGTTATTTGTATTATTTTAAATAATATCAATAAATAAACATATACAAAAATAAGATTTATATTTATTATTAAAGATTGAAATAGATAACTTAACACTAGAACTATTCTTAAATTAATTTAATATTTCAAAAATTAATCTAATATTATTCACAATTTTATACAATTTTATTTAAAAAAAAAAAAAAAAAATAACAATGACAATAATAATAATAATAATAAATATATATGCTTGATTCTAACAAGTTTCAATAGTTCTAGTATTTAAAGTGTATCAATTGACTGAAACAAGAAAGAGAAAAAAAACACACACAGACACACAAAAAAGGTGTACAAAAAGATAATTAAATTTGGTTGCTAACCTGGAGAAATCGAAGAATCCGTCACCCGATGAGAACAGCTGATCCGGTCAACTCTCGGTGGGTGTAGTTTTTCGTACGAAGGTACACTCCCTTTAAATGAGGAACTAACTGGAATCACCTGCCGTGCACAGGTACAATTTTTTGTCCTCTTCTATCTTCTTCTCGTCACAAACCAAGTAATATACATATATATATATATATATATTATATATACATACATATATATATCAATATATATATATATAATCAAAGCACCACACCTTTCAGGAGTCTCAAAAAAAAAAAAGTTATGTTTTATCCACACAATAAAAATAACATATTTTAATAATAATAATAATATAATCGCGTGATTAAGGGGTAGGGGGTAGGGGGTTGTCACTTATTTATTTTACGAGCTTAGTTCGTACTCTTCCAATGGAAACATTTTTTTCAAAGTATAATTATTGAACATTTGTAAAAATAATTTGGTTCGTACGTTGTCAGATGAATAATCAAAATGAATAATAATAGTCTTTTTACAATAATCTTGCATCATTGTTATTGTCTATTCGTTTTATATTTTTCACACACACTTCCAATATATCTTCCAAAATGAGCCCCCTTTTTTTCTTCACTCTCTTTATTTATGTTCAAAAAATTGATAACACGCGAAACGATTGGTTGACAAGTAGAACAATGTTGAACAATGTTGCGTTTTAACGAACACCGAGAGTTTCAAAAACACTGTGAGAACAAAATAAATGAATATTTTTTTATCAAATTCCGTATTATTATTAAACTTTTGAGAAGAAATAATGGAAGGGAGTGTAGTTGTATTACAGGTAAACGTCAGAATGAACGGGTTGATGTTTAAAGGAATGAGGAATGACAAGGGGGTTGAAATTGAAGGAAGGGGAAGGTAAAATGACGTAAGATAATGAAAACAAAATAAAAAATGAGTAAGAGTGTAAGTTTTTAAAAAACGTAGTAGTGATATTACAAAAAAACAATCAGGAACAGGAACAGACAATTAACAACAGGAACAACAGGAACAGCAGGAACAGCAGGAGCAACCTTCGTCCGGGCAACTGCCGGACACACGACTATTCCTCTCTCTCTCTCTTTTTCTGTATATTCTTTCTGTCCTTCTCTCTTCTACCGTCCTATTTATTTTCAATACGAAGAGAGAGAGAGAGAGAGAGTGAGTGAGGGGGGGAGGGAGATGACACGATGCACCTATAAAAACGAGAAAGAGATAGATGAACGACGCGTGCGACGTAGTAGTAGTAGTAGTGGTAGTAGGTGGTTGCGCGGTAGATTGAGAAAGAGAGAAAGAGATAGATAGATAGATAGAGTAGGGGAAAACATTGAAAATGAGTGAGAGGAAGAGAAAGATATAGAATGTTACAGTACACCGATCCTAACGCGTCGAATACTTAAGTGATACTGCAGCTCCGTTCGGTACACGTTCTTGGTAGTGGGGTGACGCATGCGCAGTACGATAGACGAACTACGACCACTGCCGAATGCTTTCGGGGGTACGAAACTTGCCGAATCGTTGCTGTCATATCGTTGCATGTGTTATAGTTATATTTCTTTACTTTTTTCTTGATTTATAGGTTATGATTGATTTTAATTTCTTCTTATTCTTTTTCTTTTCTTGAAAGGACAGTGGTGATAGGATTACTTTTCTCATCTGGAATAGGATAATATGGTTATGATAAAGGAAATGGTTAATTTAGATTAATATTGATGTGATATTAAAATTTAGAAATGTATTAGTTATTGTTATATAAAAATAGATTACCTATTTTATATCATATTAATTTTGATATTTGAAAATTATAGGAAATGTCACTTGAGAGGAATATAAGTTGTTTAAATGAATTGTTTCAGTAATTAAAATGAAGGGCAGTGTCCAAACGTCATTAAATCATATTCATAATGGATTATTATATTAAAATATAAATGCCAAATCTACAACAGTTACAAGATTGTAAGTATATCTTAAATATGTATTTCCTATCTATCGCCTTGTTGTTTTAATTATTATTATTATTATTAATATTATAATATATACACCACAATAAAGTGGTGAAAGAGTTCAATAATTTTTATATTACTGATCCCCTTGTTTATAATGCACAGAATTCATCTCCTTTTTCTTTTCTATACCATAACCAAAGTTTTAACGTCATATATACTTTTTCTAATATTATATATATTAAAAACAACATGGCATAAATTAAATAGAATAATATAGATATATCATGGTTATGGATAAAAACTGTATTACTAAAAACTAAAGATTTGTTTCAAATGTCAAAATGTTTTTTTTTTTTTTTTTATAAATAAATGTATTAAACATCATACTTTGTGAAAATAGAAATAAGATAGAACTTAATACTTTTTCTTTTTTATGATAGAAGAGAGACAGGTCCTGATGTACAGAAATACCAAGGATTATATAAATGCTCACTGTTCGTCTTTATCTTTAGCTCCATGTTTTAAAATTCGTGTGAATTCTAAATAATCAAACATTGATCCTTTGATGGGTGCTTCACGGTACATTTCATCAACATCATCATCGGTGAATCTATAAGTAAAGAAAATATATAATTACAGTATTTATACATGTTACAAATTGAAGAATTATTTTCAGAAAATTACCTGTCACCCATTGTCGTCAAAAGTTCACGCAAACGTTCTTCATTTATATGACCAGTGTTTTCTTCATCAAAACAACCAAATGCATTTTTGATAACATCTTCAGGATCTGTACCTTGAAGTCTTTCACCAAATAAGGTTAGAAACATTGTAAAATTAATAGGACCAAGTGCTTCATTCATCATAGCTTCTAAATATTCATCAGTAGGATTCTTTCCTATAACATATATAATATAATTCATTAGTTTATGTATTTACTTGTACATATGTATTATTTATTTATTTATTTACCAAGAGATGCAAGCATATCGTGAAGATCTTCTTTATCTATGAAACCATCATGGTTCTGGTCTATCATGTTAAATGCTTCTTTGAATTCTGCAATTTGTGCTTGGTCAAACATTGCAAAAACATTTGACGTGGCACGTTGTGCACGTTTTTTCGTGGTTGCACGACGACCTGCTGTTTTACGGGCAGACATGTTGACTGGCTGTAAAAATAAATAATTAAATTTATATAAACATATTATATAATTATTAATAATTAATCTATAAGTATTTAATTTGATATATTATCTTCTTTATGGTTAATGTAAATTTGTTCTATTTATCATGTAACTTTGCCATGATACTATTATCGTCATCCACATCGTTTATTTTTGGATAATTAAATGAAAATATTTGGACGTAGACGAAATTAGGATAAAAATAATATGACTAACACGAGCACACGATTACGAGGACATTAACTTACCATTTTTCTTTTTTGTTTTTTTTGTTTTTCAACAAAATCTCTAACTTGACTCACTTTATTATTCACGATGAAAGGAACACTACGAATATTTATTTTTATCCAACCATTACTTACACACACTTGTAAAATTTAAATTTAATGTGTTAAAAAAAAAACAAAATGGCGTAGCGCGGGTTTTACAAAATTATAACTGTAAAACAAAGTAATTTTTGTTAAATCATTTGAATCAAATTTGTATCAAATTATTCAAAATAATCGTTAGTTTATTTAACAACAAAATATTTGTAAAATTAAATTATTGTACTCGTAATTTAATTACTTTCTTAATCTTATTTTAAATGGTTAATCTAATTTATGCATCTGGTTCTTATTTTGCTATATACTGCACTGTACTGTCGTTCTCATCCATTCCAAATCTGACATTAAATTTGATATTAATCGAACAATTCAAATATTGGACATTAAAATATTAATTCCAATATAATGATACATCACAGATTTATTTTTTTTTTTAATAATTTATTAATGAAATTATTATAATTTAATCGATAATTTGTACGAAAGTTAAAAACATCGTATGTGTCACGAAACAATAATGGCTGTACGAAATGTAGATACAAACTTAACGTACATTTTGTAATATCAAATATAAATCATACGTTTATATTGTTTTATAAGATGAATTTTTAATTTACTTAAAATATATGAGGAATATTTTAAAACTCACCTGATACAAAAATACGAATTTAAACAAGAAAGAAACACCACAAAGAGACTTTCGTGTAGTACTATGACTCACGTCACTCGTCACTGCAGTTTATTCACCACACCCGGACAACTAACGCCATCTGGAGAATCATTCGAAATTCTATGGCTACTTTATATATGAGTAATCATGAAACAATGTAGCAAGATAATATTTAGGCCATTATAAACATAATATTATTATTATTTTTTTGAAATTCAATCCAATATTTATTTTTAAACTTTCTAAATTTTAAATGATTAAGAGTATCAATGAATTTTTGAAATGACTGTACAATTTTTTGTATAAATTAAAAAAAAAGTAAACCCATTTTGAAATAAAAATAATCAAGTATATAGAATATTATTTTGATTTGAGGTTAAAATAAAGATTTTATAATTAAAATTTGTTGATAGAAATATATAAATGAAAAAGGGGGGTACAAAATCATTAGTTACGGTCCTGATCTTTAAGTTATTCTGTTTTACCATACTTGGAATAAGTACGGACTCGCTGAAAAGTTCATTACCATATTTGGATATGATCGTTTCTGATAAATGTACATGTTTACCAATTTAAACTCTTACTTTCATACCAAATTAAATTCACGAGAATTTCTTGCTTTTTTTTTTTGTAGATGACGAATTTCAAAAAATAAATCAAATATAGCGCTATCGAGAACAATTAGCGCAACCTACAGCACAAAGATAGAACCAAATTCCATTTAAATTTATTTCAAAATATGTTTAATAATAATATTTCTTATTTATTTAAAATATTTATTACAAAAATGAATGAAAATGATGAAAAATAAATATTCAGGCTAATTTCTATGTATCTTATTATATCATAAATGAATTAATATTTCATTTTTTTTATACACATTTTAATATTTTTTGTTGAATCATAATTGGGGGATTTTTTGATAAATGTTTTGGAATGAAAACAAATTTGTTTAGGTTATTTTCAAACAAACTTTCGTGTTGCTCTTTATTCTCATTTGATCGAAGAAATAAAAATAAAAATAAAAACAAAAAAAAATTAATATCGACATATGTATATAAGTATATATATATATATATACTACACAACGTGTCGCTTAAATTCTAAAAAGAAAAAACAATGAATTATATTATAATATATAATCAAAACATTCTATATACAGAATCATACAAGTAATCTAATCGATGTGTTTTAATCAACACAACCAACCATCAAACTTATCTTCTTTTTATTTATTTATTTTTTTAATTACTTTAAACATTCAAATCGATTCGAACGTTCGACGTTCATCTTTGATAATTTAAAAAAAAAAAAAAAACAAACAAAAATCTGTCTCCATATATAATATCATTTTTATCAATCGTATGATCCAATCATCGAACGTTTCTTAAATCTAAACAATTGTGTTGTTTATTTACACGTATATTATTATAAATAATGCGTAAACGGGACCGTTTATAATTAACTTTCACGTACCATAATAATTAAATCCTGTACATTTGAAGGTAGCGTAGCCTTGAAATAAAAAAAAAATAAAAATAAAGTAAAAGAAGAAGTAGAAGAAGAAAAAAATAATCTCGAGAAAGATTTTTCTTCAGAAATAAAAAAAAAAAAAAAACAATATACAAATAGCATATATTTAAATTTAACATAACTATCGTACAGAAACACCATTGATAGTTATGCCATTTCTATTGGATATTGGTTCAGCTTCGTAATGACCCGATCTACCATAAACTCTTCGGGTATTTCCGTATCTGTAATATTATTATAATTATTAATAACATTTAAACAGAATTGTTGTGTAAAAAATATTAAAAGTTGTACTTACCCATACATACTACCACTTATGCTATAGGGATTATCATAAAGACCATCTTCCGGTACATTTTCATACATTGTATTAGGTGTCCCATCGTTCAAGGTTGCGTATGACATAACAGCTGCATTTTGATCCTCCTTTCTTTCAGCTGCTTGAACATTTTCTGTATTTTTTACAGGTGTAGCTTTTCGTCTGTAATATAATTATTTATATTTATTTGAAATGTTTAATTAAATAATTGTTTTGATTACTAAATGAAACTTACAGTCTTAAGTATACCAGTCCTAAGATGATTAGGATGAAAATGATCACTGCAGCTCCAATACCAACACTTGTACCAACTCCTTGAGCTTCAGCAACTTCATTCGTCATTACTATAAATTTATTGATATAATTTATAATTAAATGAGTAATAGTTTATTTTATGATAATTAGAAAAACAAACGTACGTTCGCATTTAGGTTCATCCCCACTCCAATAACCTGTATCCAAACATTTCCTGAGGAAAGGTCCTATTCTTTCGAATTGAGGAAGACAATGATACTCAGCTGCACCACCATAAGTAGTTGAACCATTTACAACTATAACTCTACCATTTTCAATTGATCCTGGATGTTTACAATCAATAGCTAAACAAACAAACATATTCAGGTTTAAAAATAATTATAATTGTGAAGATGAAGAAGATTAAATGTTCTGTTTGTTGATGTAATTGGATTGAATGTACTTACAAAAACAAGCAGGAGTGGTATCACTCCAAGTTCCATTTTGCAAACAAAATCTTGTCTCGTTACCTTCCATGTAAAAACCTTTTGGACAACTGTAATGAGCAACACCACCAACGCTATGAGTTGATACTTGTGTTGATAATACACCACCTTTTTCTGGATCCTTACATCTGATTTCTATATCAAAAATAAAAAAAAAGAATCAAATATTTATTGTAATATTAAATAATCTAATATTAATAATTATATTCTTGTTTAATTTGATATATAGTTATGTTGGTAATAATTATTATTAAATAATCTAATATTACTAGTTATGCTTGTATACAATTTGAAGTATATTTATAGTGTTAATAACCAATATTAAAGTATTTAATATAATATTAATATTTAATATAATATATATCTAATATAGTGCAATCTAATACTACAAATTGTACTAGTATTCAATTTGGAATATATTTATGTTGGTAATAACCAATATTAAGCAATCTAAAATATAATATTAATATCTAATATAATGTAATCTAATATTACCAGTTATACTAATATTCAATTTAATATATATTTATAATATTAATAACCAATATTAAGTAATCTAATATTACTAATTATACTAGTATTTAATTTGATATATATTTATATTGTTAATAACTAATATTAAGCAATCTAAAATATAATATTAATATTTAATATAATATACATATCTAATATATATAATGCAATCTAATATTAACAATTATACTAATATTCAATTTAAAGTATATTTATATTGCTAATAACCAATATTAGACAATATAATATTACAAATTAAACCCTTATTGAATTTGAAGTATACATTTATGTTTACCTCTGCAAACAGGTGTAGTACCACTCCATGTAGCATTCTCCAAACATAATCTCCTAGCAAAACCATCCAATTCAAAGTTTCCATCGCATTCGTAGAGTGCTGCAGCACCGTAATACGTAGCATTTGATGTTAAAGTGTATCGACCGTGTTGTATATGTTCAGGTTTTCCACAGTCTACGTCTACAAAAAGAAAAGAAAAAAAAAGAAGATAAAACTTTTTACACTACATTTATCTTCAATGTACTGTTCAACATAGTTTTTCTTGTTTGTTAGATATAACTATAGTCACGTATAATACGAAATATCAAATGTCTTGAAACGAAAAGTTAGGGTATATCGAATAGAATAATAATATTGTGTTTCATATCTTACAAACGCATTGTGGAACTTCACCACTCCATTTGCCATTATCCTCGCATGTTGACAGTGGTTCTCCAACAACTTTGTAACCCCTCTCACATCTGTATTTAGCTAATGCACCAATCTTGTAAGAAGTTGCTCCGGTATTTGAATTTTCAGCTGTACCAGTACGTATCAAGGTTCTACCATACATACGATCGTTACCAGTTACAGAAAGTATACCATGTTCTGCTAATACTGGCTCGGGACATCTGATTTCTATGAAATTATAATCATTAGATCATTTATTTTTTCATATTTTTGTTATTATGGGTAGAAATAGTATTATTATACTACGAAACTCTTATAAATGTTCTTTAACTTCAATCATTTTATCTTCACGCATACATGTATAATACAATTAATTAATATTAGAATTACTAGACTATTCTTTCAATTATTTATTGTCTGATCTTTACACATATATACGCATACACACACTTATAATTAATTAATCGTAAATTAGAATATATTGAAATTGAATAATTTGATAATTTACCTTCACATTTTGGTGTGGCATCACTCCATTGTCCATTATCCAAACAATATCTTCTAGAAACCCCATTCAATCGATAATTCTTAGTACAACCATAAGTTATTTCACTTCCAAGGTGAGTTGTACCATTTACGTATTCAACTGCACCGTTAAGTACAGGTAAAACTTTGGCACAATCGATGTCTGTCGAATAAACGAAAAATTATTTGCAAATGAACTCTAATTTAAAATTATTTGTTTTTGTTTCATATAAATAAATGAATTTACATTCACAAGTAGGTACTTCCCCGGTCCATTCGCCATCTTTGCCACAAGTATGCGTTGCTTCTCCGTGAAGTAGGTTACCTGGTTCGCAATGATACTCTATCACGCTATGAACATTCAAATCGTAACCGATTACGTAACTTCCACTTGGTACTTCCGGTTCCTCGCACGTTATTACTGTAAACATTTGTTTTAATATATTATTTGCAAAAAAAAAATCATTTGTACAAATAATAATAATAATAATGAATTAATAATGACTGTAAATTATTAAATTATTATTATTATTGATTAGCATTTTGGGAACTCGAAAGTTCATTACCACAAATATCAAAATAATGCATGTAAAAATAATCAAAAATTAATTTTATAATATATTTAATATTATAATTATTATTTGTTGTAATCATCGAAATTTGTTTATTATTTTTTTCGTAACAGTTTATTTATTTAATCAAAAAAAGTCTTACATTCGCATGATGGCGTATCGTGACTCCATTTTCCTTCTTTGGTACATTCGTGTTTACCTTCACCAACCAACCAATAATCATCTTGACAGGTATAAACAGCTAAACTTCCAACAGTTGTAGTACCATTGACAAGATTGACACTACCAAATTCAATTTGTGCGGGTGTTCCACAATCAACGAAACGACATTGAGGTGCTTTTCCAGACCATTCACCACCAATGTCACAAGTTAAAACCTTTAAGATCAAATTAAAATAATATAAAGTGATTTAAAATATTGTTTTATCAAATGATTAATCCCTTTAACGGTCATAAGTCACCTATCACGTGACCAAATGTGGCTGCGATTGCACGTCACGTGGTAAGTGATAACTAGTCAATTGAAAAACTATATTTTAACGAAATTAGTTACACAATTTTAATGAAAATCACGTATGAAAAACTAGAGACCGATAAGGGTTGAAATAAAAAGATAAAATATAAATAAAAAATGTAATTTTGTAACTTACGTTGTCACCAAATAAAATAAATCCATTTTGACAGGAATAACTTGCAATAGAACCGGCTCTTCTTCCGGTCATTGTGACCAATCCACCGTTAACTTCTGGTGGTTCTGGACACCAATCGACTAGAATTTTGTTTAACAAATTCATTCGTTGTAATTCCTTGACAATAATTTGAAAAAGAAAAATTCAACTCACATAAACATTGTGGTTTATGTCCGCTCCAAATACCCCCGTCACCACATCGTCTTCTGGTGTCACCAACAAGCGTATAATTCTCGTTGCAAGTATAATCGGCCAATGCACCATGCGTCGTTCTGCTTTCTAACAACGTGATCACACCGTTGTCAAGCTCAGGTAAGGGGCCACAATCGACGACTGAACAAAAAATTACAAACGTGAAACACTAACTCTCTCTTACGTGACTTTAATTCTATAATATGTGATTCCTTTAATTTTATTTTATTTCGAAAGACAGTTTACATTTGCAAGTAGGAGGTGTGGTGCTCCAAAATCCACTGGATTCACAAATACGTGTCTTTGAACCAATAAGCATGTGACCTTCAGGACACTCATATTCTATAGTTGATCCTATTATCCTTTTTGTACCAATTATCGTTGTATTTTCTAATTTTTCTGGACTACCGCAAAGTGGTGGTCCTAAAATGGAAAGAAGAAGATAAAAATTATTGTACAAGGTAGAAATTATTCTTCTATCGAAATGGAAAGTATAAAGATGAAAAAATAATATATATATATATATATATATATTGTTTGGACTCTTACTGCTTTGACAAATCCAGTGAAGGTAGTCAAGGTTACAACCAACGTCATTCCAAAGCCAACCACGACCACCGTCCAGTACAACGCAGTTTTGTTCACCGTTGTAATTATTCGGTTGATCCTTTCCCCAAGACGGTCTTTGCACGACTTCACCTGAAATAATAATAATAATAATAATAATAATAATAATAATAATAAACATTCGTCATATTTTATACACGTTCGTTTCATAAATAATTATTCCAAGTTTCAAGTTTTGTCACTCAAATTTCAAACGAGAGTTTATTTTCGTACTGTGCATTCTAATTTTAGCAATGTGCTTTGATACTTCAATGTATTTTTTTATTTTTTAACAAACAATTTCTACTTTTAAACTTTGTAATTGATTCAGAAGTATAATATTTCAAAATTTTATGAAGTTTACAAATTCTAATGAAATTTAAACCAATCGTAATTCGAATTATATTTTTATTTTGTTCACAGAACAATTAGCAATGGATTTGAAAAATATTTTATTTATAATTTACTTTAATTTAAAAACTAAGAGACAATTTTAAATATGGAAGAAATTCGTTTAATTAAATATAATAATAATAATAATAATAATATTATTTAAACTATATTTATAAATTGTTAAAATGCAATTTAACCCTTTTCACGATAATAGGTATGATAAAAATAATAAAATAACTTTTTTTTTGCCACCATATACAGTGTTGGCATTGAATACAATAAGTAAAAGTGTCATAGCAACTTTATATGGTGTCATTTGGTTCGTTAAGGATTCATTTCGTCAGATTATTTAATAAAATTACTTTCACGTTTGTTTTTTTTATGACAGATACCTGATACTAATCACCTGTCAGGTAGATTGACAATGATTATTATTCTATCAGCTAATCGTACAATTTTCTCTAACGATATTTAAAACTAGTCACGTAACTAGATGATAACGAAACAAAAAAAAATATCTGAATTCTCAGGTAACACATAATTGTTCGATAATCAACCTGTCGAATCGATCGGCTACGGAAGATTCCTATCTTCAACTCTTTCGATTACTCAACTTTGATTTCCTTCCCTCTCCCTTTCTCCAACCACCCACTCACCCAGTGTTCCGATTCTCACGAACGTTATTCTTTTCTTGTATATTTAATCGTGAGAAGGGAAAAAATGTGGCGATTTATTTGAGGGTGGGAGGGAGGGTAAGGGAAATGAAATAGGAAAAAAAAAGAAAAGAAAATGATAAATATAGGAAGATAGTTGCAAGAAGTTTTTTTTTTTTTTTTTAAATAGTTTTGTTATTTATCTATCATGTTTTTCTTTTTCATATTTTTGCTAAATATATTTTTAATGAAAATAACTATATTTTGATATTTATTAAGTATATTTTTGATGAAAAAACCTTTGTACAACACTGTACTTCTACAGCTAAGGCAAGGCTTGTCATCTTAAAGATACAATGTTGCAGAAAGTATTTCTTTTCATCTTCATGGCATTGAAAACAAAAGTTTTTAGCTCATTGTTCTGAGTTTTATACAACACAGTTTCACACAACACAGCATTTCTTAGGAACTTATCTACCGTGTTATAGGAGGGGGTTACCTGTATATTGTCAGATAGAATAAATAAAAATTCTTACCGTCAACCCATCGCCAAGTTCTAGCAGTTATCAATGGTTCTTTCTGAGCACCAATCCATACCAATTGTGTTTTCAATTTTTCCTTACGCCTTTCTAAATTGTTTAGAATAAATATCGGTGAGACACCCTGTATGTAAAAAAATTGATTACAAATTTAGATTAAAAAAACATATAGTTATATTTCATCATAAATAGAAAATATATTTAATATTCACTTGAAAACCATGAACCAGGTCACCACCACGTGCACGACAATAAGTTCTTGCTTCTTGAAATGATCCACCTTTCTTTACTACGAATTCGTAACAGGTTGAATTAAATGCTGCTAGATCTGCGTCAGCAGGTGTTCCAGCACTTGCACACCTGTCTATTGAGAATTCTACAAATGGGAAAAGTACAAAAAAAAATATAACATAACATTGAGATAATATTATGATGAATATTTAATGAAATTAAATAGAAAAACACAAATATGTTTCAATATTTTCTGTCATGTTTTTCAAAATTTATCAAAACATAATTGACTAAATAATAATTTAATTGAATTATATAAAGTGTAGAATGTTTAAATAAAAATAAATATTAAAATTAAATTTCTTCTGCAATATAATTTTGTTGTAAAATCAAAACATAATTTAATTGAATTATATAATGGAAGGAATGATTAAATGGAAATTAAAATAAAAATTAATTTCTTTTGAAATATGATTTGGTAGTAATATTGTTTTTGTTATTTGAATTGTTATAGCAGAATTGTTTATTATTATTATTATTATTATTATTATTATTATTATTATTATTATTAACTTACCATCAGTGGCAAAAACTTCAACTTCACATAAACTCAAACTTCCTTCTACTCCAACAAGTTGCAAAAAAACGTATTGACCAACCAAAGCTCTGGCACAGACAAACGTCTTCGTAATACCTTCCTCTGTAATTATCGATTAGGTGGAATTTTTATCATTTCAAGAAAGTAATTTAATAAAATAAAATAAAATACAAACACAGACAATAACTATAGTCCTTAAATGTGATGTTTATTTTAAAAGTGGCTTAAGTTAATTCATATTCAAATCAAAATATTGTATGTGTGTGTACTCTCCTGAATGGTTTAAGTTAGATTAAATTTAAAAATACAAATAACAAATGATTTAATAGAATATTTTTGGGTTTCTAAAAGTATCAAATGCATCTTAATTACCATAATTAACATTATTGAATAAATAATATATTTTTGATGGCTATCATTGCATTTACACAACTTTCAAAATAATTTTAAGTTTCTAAAAGTATCAAATGCATTACAATTCAACTTTCAAGATAGATAAACCCAGTTTGTTTTTGGAAAATGGATACATAATATTTTCACTTTCAAAATAAACGTTTCAAATATCTTTTTTTTTTTTTTATCTTTCACTGGTAAGATTCTCTTTCATAATTTCAGTCTATTGTTAGTAACGTCGAACATTTCCTTCTCGTTCGAGATATTCCCAACATGTGAGAACGTTCACATGTTGTGTCCGGTATATATATATATGTATACAAGTGTATATTGAAGAATCGAAAGCATACATTACAACATTTTGAATAGAAAAACCTATTGGTATTATAGTTACTTACCAATTGTACCAGGAAACCATGCACAAAGAGGATTACGTTGTAATTCTGTACTGCTATTACCAACTCTAATTTCAATATCCTGAAGAGGTTGATGACCTTAACAATTAAATATCAAAGATTTCTTCGATTAATTAGCAATGAAAGTGAATAAATGAAATATTGATCAGTAATTAACAAAATATTTACCACAACAACCTCTTGTTGTAACTCTGACCACTTTAACTGAGTATGATTTAAGTAAATCAACTCTCCACCAAGGACTATGTTCACTCAAGGTCTCTGTACATCTTTTACCATCGTGTTCCGTACTATGATCACCATCGTTTCCATGTCCTGCGTTTCCACCTCTGACAGTTGTTGATTGATTTGCTGGTTTTCGAAATGCTACGTTTGTACCTGATTAAATAATTCATCATGAAATTTATGAATTAAGTTTATTAGATTGATTTGTTTCTTTTGTATTTATTCTTTCTGTATACTAACATTTAAAATATGTTTCTATAAATTAATATTAATATAATTTTTGTAAATTATATTATTAAATGCGATATTATAATTTATATTTAAATTATTAATATTCATTCAATTAATTTATTCAATAATTCATGAATTATTTATATTCATACAAATACATTAAATATAATTATGAATATATTAATAAATAGTAACATTTTATAATTAATTATTTTTATTTCTTATTCAATCTTAAATTAAAGTAATGGTTAATTTATATTGAAATGTTTCTTTAATTATCCATTCAATAGTTTCTTTTTTTTTTCTTAATGGTTTCTAACGCTAAAAGTGTTGTAGACTGATTAATAGGAGTTCCTTGTTACTTAGACAGGATGCATTTGGTAATAACGAGACGACAATTAGTTGGATACTTGACGAAAGGAAATTTCATCATATCGGATAGTTAGAATTTAACGGTGTTTTCATTTTCATGACATTTCCGCGTTCTCAACAATTTTTCTGAACACCATTATTTAACCTTTTATGGATAATAATGAAAACTCAATAGAATTTTGTTCAATTTATTTATAATTAGAATTAAAAAGCAAATAAAAAACAAAGAATTTCTGAATTAATGATTGCAATTAATTATTTTAAGTGATATCAAATCACCTCAATAAAAAAAAACAAAAACAAATTAAAATTGTTAGTTAATTCATTTGAAATGTTTATAAATAATACAAAATGATTGAATTAATTTACATTGAGTTTAAAAATAACTTATGACGAAACAATAATGATTACTAATTCTGAGTAAGTATAATCTCGATATCTCTTTTTTATATACCGAAGGGAAAGTCTCGTGGTAAACCGGAAGTATTTTTTTTCGCATGACACGAATGATTTTAAGAAAATTAAAATAAAGAGAGAAGAAAAAAATATATTTAAATAAAAAAAAAACTACAGAGAATAGTTTATTCAAAAATATGTATTATATACTAAAAATCTTGTTTTTTTTAAATCGACCTAACCTTAATTAGGTCAAGTTGTTTTCAATTTTATTTGCTACAGAAAGTATATTTTTATAATATTTTTCTATTTATTTATTAATATTTATTATTTATATTATATTTATTTATATTATTATATTTTTATTTATTAATATTATATTAATTTAATACTATAATATTAATTTATATTTATATATTTAAATTCTAATATTATTTTTTTATTTATTTATAATTATTATACTAATATATATTCATTTATATTTGTTTATATATTTAAATTCTAATCTTATTTTTTTATAATTATTATATTAATATTAATTTAATTTGTTTATATATTTAAATTATGATATTATTTTTTTATTTATTTATAATTATTATATTAATATTAATTTATATTTATTTTTATATACTTAAATTATATATAATATTATTTTTTTAAATATTTATAATTTATTATAATAATATTAAAAAATAATTTTATAATTATATATTTTTTTCGCAACCGGCGGGATTCGATCTTACGCTACCAGGTTTGCTAGCTGAGTGCCCTACTCACTGACCTACCACGACTATTTGATGTTTGTTAAATATTTATTATTTATATTTTATTATAATGTAGATTATTATATTTACATTATATTATATATTTCTATTTTAATTTTTGTTTATTTTCCACAGAATATATTTCATTTTTAAAACAACAATTTTTTTATTGTACAATTATTCAAATTACAATAAGCAATAATTCCAATTTAAATTAATAATAATAATAATAATAATAATAATAATCATACTGTGATAATCATAATTAATCTAACATTTATTAATTTTTATTTTTAAATAAACATTTTCACAATTAAATTGAATCAATAAATTTAATAAAAATTATTGAATTTATTAATTATTTAATAAAATTATGAAAGATTGGTAAAACTTTTCAAAGAACTTGATTTAATTAATTAAATAAAAATGTCTGATAAAGTTTCTCAAAAGTTTGACCAATGAAATAATAATCGAAAACGCTTTCTATGTAAATAAAAAAAAAAAAAACCAACATAAAAAAACACAAAAAAGGTAAAAAGAAAGAAAAAGTAACAGCGAAAGTAACTAAAAGAAGGGAGAGTACGTCAGATTGGCATTTTAAGATGGGCGAAATTCGATTTCGTTTTCTTCGATCTAAAATACTGTGTGTGGGTTCTTTTGAAAGGGTACGATGACCTTCCCCCTATTCCCCCTACCCTTCCTCTTATCCAATAACAAGCTGCTTCTTCTTCTTCTTCTTCTTCTTATTTACGAGTCTTTGACTTTTGACGTCGATAGTCGTCAAGAGAGAGAAAGTTGGTTTGCAACTCGAAATCTCGAGCGTGTACGTTAAAGGAATGACAATAATTATTGAAATGATTGAATTTTAATTTCACTCACCGCAAAATGGCAAATCACCTTGCCATTTTCCTTTATTGCCACAAGTAAGCGTGTTGGTTCTGAAAAAAAAAACAAAAATTAAATTCAAATAAAAGAAAATGAAATAAATCAATCGATGTTTTTCACACGAAATATGAAAATGGGGCTTTAATTGTCAAATTGAAGAAAAATTCAATAAAATACAAGAAATATAAAAAATATAAAAAATATATAATAACAATAATAATAATATATAATAATAAAAATAAATATGATAAATATTATAACCTAAAAATATAATATATAATAAATATTAAATAACTTAAAAATATAATATACAATAATAATATAAATACAATAAAAAAGAAAGATAAAGATTTATTATTAATAAAATAAAATTGAAGGAAGTGTAATAGAAAAAAAAATATTAAAAATTATATTAGATAAAATTACTGTTAGATAAATTGTAGTTTGTCATGACGAGTTGCAATTTTTTGTTATTTTTTTTTTACATAAAAAAACAAGTATTACAGTGTAGTAGTAGTAGTAGTAGTAGTAGTAGTAGTACTAGTAACATTTCTGCATTCCAGACTAATCCAGTTGCATTTGAAGTGGTCTAAAAACTATTACTATAAAACGAGATATTCAGTTTATATAGTTTTCTTAAGTTCTAATTAATTGTAAAAAAAGATGAAAAAAAAAACACAAACGAGATAAATTAAACGAAGTTTAGTCTCGAATTTTTTTTTTTTTAGGATAGAGTCAATTGGAAATACAACATCTGGGGTTGCGTTTGAAACACCACATGTAACTAAACGTCTAGTACAGGTTGTAAGCAGGTGTGCAAAATTCTTTTAAATAGGTTTGCAGTTTATTTTCTAATTTATCTTTTACCAGAGAGAGAGGAAAAAGAAATAAAAACGTGACAAAGAAATAAAAAATAAAAACATGTGTGAAGATCACACGTATTAAAAGTAAAACTCTAACGGGCTCTTTTACGAGGCCCTTTTACTAGGCTCTTTTACAGGGCTCGTTTACTAGGCTCTTTTACGGGGCTCGTTTACGAGGCTCTTTTACGGGGCTCGTTTACTAGGCTCTTTTACTAGGCTCTTTTACTAGGCTCTTTTACTAGGCTCTTTTACTAGGCTCTTTTACGGGGCTCGTTTACGAGGCTCTTTTACGGGGCTCGTTTACTAGGCTCTTTTACGAGGCTCTTTTACTAATTTATTTATTATTATTTATTATTATTAATTATTTATTTTTTATTGATTTAACATTTGACTTATGTAAAAAAACAATTTGACTGAAAATAAAAAAAAAAAGTTATTCTAATTAACGTAATCGTGTTTGTGAGTGTATTTAGATATGAATAAGATTATTTTATTTTTCTACTAAGGAAAGAAACCCATTTGTACTCAAACATGACTCGGATTACGTGTACTCCTCTTGTGAATAGGTTAAGAAAAAAAAAAATAACAGAATACTCATTTAAAAAATTCCTACACGATGACACTTCAGAATAAAACGGCAAATTTGACTTGTCGATACATGCAAAGGCGTTTACCTTCACTCGTGAACCTTCCACGAATGAAAAGGAATTATTAGCATGAGCTAAAACTCTAACGGTAAAACGTTAACAGGAACGTTCGGCATTCATCCGAGAAAATGAGAACACTATTTTGATATATGCTAGGTGATAATTAAACGAAAAAAAAAAAAAAAAAAAAACAAACATTTTATCTTAAATAAAAAAGAAAATGATACAATTTTTAAATCATCCAATCTAGTGTTGTTTCATTTTTCTTGTTTTTCTCATAATTTCTTTATTATCGTCAGAAAAACGAGCCTTAATCGAAATTATTTCCTGCAAGGCTAGAAAAAGGTTTTTTCTTTTTTTTTTTTTTTTATATTGAATTGTGTTCTTGGTTTAAACTCGTAAAATCGAACAAGTTATTATTTGAAAATGAAACGTTGATGATTGGTTTGTTCTTATTGTTATTGTTGATGATTTTTCGAGGATTTTGTTTTTGTTTAGAAAAAAAAATCGATTATAAAAAAATTAATTAATTTTGACGTGTGTGTTTAAATACCTGAAAAAGGTAACACGCGTTGCTATTGATATTTCTTTTCGTCGACTAATTACCACGAATTCGATCGTAAAGGGTTCATGACAGTACCACCTAATTAAACTGAAAATAAATGAAATGGGAACAGAAATTTTAACGAGCCTAATCACGCACTTTAACGAACCACTTAACTATTCTTTATTCCGGTTTACTTTAAATTCGTAACATTTTTATGGAATAGATTTGAAATGTGTTGGCAATAGTTTAAAACATACTGCTAACTAATAATTATAGTTTATTTTTATTTTTTTTTGTTATTTTACGATCATTTTATTTTATATTCCACAAAATTTCTATTCGTAGGATCATTAATTTTTGCTTAATGTTTTCGTAAAATAATAATTTTTTGTTCGATAGTTGGTATATAAATAATAAATTAAAATAATATTAGAATATTTTATAATAGAATAAAAATGTTGTGGAATTTTTTTACGATCAATTATTATTAAATAATTATTTATACAAAATATACAAGATGTTCTTGTAGATCACAGTTTCTAAAATTAATATAATATTATATTAATAAAAATATAACACATTAAAAATAATTAATATTATATTTAAGTATGTTTTGTTAATTATTTTCTAATGACTTACAAACATTGTTTGAACGAAGGGTTGAGTATTGGGAAAATAATTAATATTTACGCGTTTAATTTTATTATATAACTAAAAATCAACATTTGTTTATAAAAAAATAATATTTAAGTTTCATATATATATATATTAATCAATTAACATAAATATTATTTTAGTAGCAAGATGATTGATTAAAATAAAAAACAGAATCACCTACCTAAACCAAAATTTAAGTTCACAAATTAAATGTTAAAAATCAAATACACAATTTATATATCAACACTATGACGTCCGGTGGCTCCACGTTGGTGCCATTCAGAAATTATCGCTCAAGCGGACGGCATAGTGTTAATAAATAATTATAACATTGAATTATTTATTAATAATTGTTAAATAAACTTACCCAAATAATTCGTATCCAGCATCACAAGTATATTTTGCTATAGTGCCTACTGTCAAGGATTCTTCGGACAGTGACACTTTGGCGTTCATCGGCACTGCAGGATGACCGCACTTCAATCCTGCAATTGAGAAAATTACAATAGTTTAGTCGACATGAACTGACTGCTGGTAGATATTAGAGACTAGTAAAAAATATGTTAAAATATCCAATTGTCTTTCTGTAACCATCTATTATCCTCTAGCATGTTCAACCAAATCGTTTTTCAGAAACTATAAACATCATTCGATCCTGTTCCAAGTTCTACATTTTGAAATACCTTTGCAATTGTTTTGCTGGTAATATTAATCGTTCAATTCACATTTTTTTTTTCAATTATTCTTATCTCACATCTATAAAATTGTTACATTTGATAAATTATATTTGATAATTATTTTCTAAAATAATTTCAATCGAAGAATGAATATAAAAACACACAGAGAAATAAATGAAAAAGTTCATCTTTAAAAATATAAAATAATACGTCAACAAAAAAGTAACATTCTATACATTCTCATACTATGTTTTCTTATTTGTAACATTTTATTTTATAACATACGTATTTACTTGTTAGTTTTATGTGTGATAATAATCCATAACGATTTTAATGTATATAGAAAGAAAGACAGTAGTGCGAAGGTGAAGGTTAAAGTCAAACGTTGACTATGTTTCTATTCCTCGACGAATTCCGGGAAAGACCTCTATGAAGTACACATAGAAAAACATCCCCGAGTATCTAGCCGAGCTCATTAGAAGAGGAGAAGTAACTACTCGTACATACAACACATCTTATTTTGATTGTAAACGTGATACAGGTAAGACGTAACGACTTCTTTCACCATCTAAACGTTTAATACTACGTAATCAGATAATATTTAGGTGAATGGCTGTGCCTAGATTCAATAGTAAATTCATTTATTATTATTATTACTATTAATTGTCATTAGTAACTCAAAAATTCATTGCCACGAATACCAAATCCCGCCAGTGTTCCCGTCCCTGAGCGCAACCCCGTCCATTCGTGGTCTTCGTAGCCCATTTCTTTAAGATCCCGAAATAATATTGTCCTCCCATCTACGTCTCGGTCTACCCAGTGGTCTTTTCCCGTTCGGTACACCGACCAGTATTTTATGCGTCATTCGATCCATCCCCATGCACGCCACGTGACCAGCCCATCTTAATCGGCGTGATTTTACGACGTTAATGATGTCCGGTTTTGTTGTACAGTCGGTGTACTTCTATGTTATGGGGGTTTTCTCCATTCACCCGTTTCCTCATCGCATTTTGCACCCGATGATTTTACGAACAACTTTATTTTCGAAAAGCCTCAATTTCTTTTCGTCCCATAACGTAAGTGACCACGTTTGGCTACCATAAAGGATTACCGGTAGGATGATTGATCCTAAATATACCTTAAGTTGCTGACCAGTTCAAAAATTTGATCCCGGATAACCAAAGTTCCAGTATTAGGCGCATTCTGAATTCTATTAGTGACCATATAATTGGTTTTTTTTTTCTAGGCTTGTTTGTAACCCCAATTCTTTTGTATTAAGTAAATTCATTTTATTCATTTTAAATTCATTTACATATTTTAATAATTATTAAATTTCTTTTTTGGTTCTTCTGACACATTGATTTGTTTCTCTTTTTTTCAAATAAATAAAAAATAATAAATATTTATTTAATAAAATAAACTTAAGAAATTACACATCAAATCACTTGGTGTGCATTTCATGCAAGTTTTTTATTTTCTTTTAGTTTTTCTTTTTATTGTCAAACGTGTCAGGGACTTGAAATCTTTTCTCGTTAAATAATAAAAAAAAGAAAATACTGTAGTAAAAGAGAAAAAGGAACATAAAAGGAAATGAAAGATATAATTCGTCGTAAAAGTTTTGTACAATTGTGCTAGTAATAATGCAACAAGACTATGTTTCTTTGAACGTTTAATAAGATAAGAATAATAATAACCTTGTACATAATCCCACGCGAATTCCTATTTGAATTCTACTACAAGGACACATTTTTCTAGTATTTTAAACTCGTCTTTAATGATCCTTTTCTTTTTTGTTTATAATGTTGTTTTAAAGTAATTAAAATATGTTGATAATAACCTTTTAAGAAATAGGTCAATTACTTTTATACTTTTGTTAATCCTTTGAATGCTGTGAATATTTTTAACTAAAATGTTTTGTAGGAACAGAATAATTTATTATTAACTAGATTTTAATAATAAATTATATTTAGTAATTAAAGTTAAAGTTTTTGTTTATGTGTGTGAATATAATTTAATTAATTAATATAAATATTACATTATTTTACAATAATATTAACAAACACTTATATGCGTCCATAGCACTTTAAGGGTTGAATACATACATGTATATTTAAAAAATAGTTTTTAAAAATATTATGATCTGATAATAGTCAGATCATTGACTATGTTTAGTCAACTAAACTGTATATCTGTAGTCAACAGTGTAACTGTATGTCACGTTAAATGACAACTAAATGTTTATATTTAGTATCAAATGTAAAACATTACTAGATTTTAGAATCTGATTTAAAACATTACTTGACTTTAGCATCTGATGTAAAAAACATTATTAAACTTTAAATTTAAATGTAAAATATTATTAGACTTTTGTATCTGATGTAAAACATTAGTAGACCTTAGCATCTGATGTAGAACATTACTAGTCTTTAAGATCTAATGTAAAATTTTACAGAAAATGATTTATCTACAATTATTTAAAGTTTTCTAAAAATATTATGAACTGTAGAACCTAATATCAAACATTACTAGACTTTAATATCAAATGTAAAATATTACTAAACTTTGGGATCAAATGTAAAACATTACTAGATCTTAGAATGTAATGTACAGCTTTACAGAAAACGAGCTCTCTACAATTATGTACAGTTTTCAAAATATTGTGATTTTTAGTATCAAATGTAAAACATTACTAGGCTTTAGTATCCAGTATAAAACATTACTAGTCTCTTTAGAATTTAATATAAAATAAAAATAAAAGAAAAATAGTAAAACTACAACAACAAAATTATTTATTAGATAAAGTGATCACATGTTTATATATATATATATATATGAAACTAACTATAATGTTCATTTTTTAATATTCATTTACATTCTCTTAGTAATAAATAAAGATTTACACAAAACAAATGGTTATTGGTTCAGTTATGTTCTTTACTGTATATATATATTCTTAGTAATGTATTAACTATGTTTGTCAAACAAAAAAGGTGTCCCTAAGTTGACATAATTAAAAAAATACTAGTCGTGGAAAAATGATATCTTTTTGGGAGGATAAATGAGAACCTTATATGTCAAGGATTAAGAAATTTGTTTCTTTCTAAGGGAAAGTTCAACTATAGCTATATATATACACTTTTAGTTTAGAATGAAATAAACGATAATAAAAAAAACCTAGCACGTGTCACTAGATTAGTCTCTAATTCACAGGAGAGGTATACTTCTGTTTACGTTTTTACGATTCACATATACATATGTATATATATATATATGTATACTCAAGGAAACATAAATACATATACATATATATATATATGGCAATGTGAAATTCTTCTCTTAGGTTTTTCCTTTTTTTTTTCTGGCCAATCTTTCTCTCTCTCTCTCTCTCTGTATTTCCTTTTTCTCTCATTGAGAAAGAACTAAATGAGAAAACGTTAGAAAAATAGTTAAAGAGTTAAGAGTCAAGTTGGTAATAAGACCAAATTTGGGTAACACAATTTTCATTCGACTGTATACCAACAGTCGATTCACTTTAAATGGATGTTCAAATGTGAAATTTTTGAAGAATTTAATTGTAAGAATTGAAAATCATCAAGAGAGATCGTGGTAAATTCTAGATTTATTTATATAGGTTTAGTTTTTATTTTTTTATTTTTTAATAGTTTCACTCGTGAGATTTATTAAATTTCTATCCTTTTTTTTTTTAATTTAATATAATATTATTGTATTTTCTTTTTTTGTGTTTAAGAATTTTTTTTTTTTTTAAAAGAATATATATCATACTTTTGTATTACAAGCAAATGACAATATTGTTATAAATGTAAAATGTTACATTATAAAATATTTATTTTAAATAATTGTTTATTCCTAACGAAATAATAGACATATATCTTTATATATAAAAATTTAATTTAACAATGTTTGTCCATTAATAATTCCAAAATGACTGTATCAATTTTAATGAATTTTTATTATATTTTCGTGTGATTTTGTTCAACTTAGAATATAGGATAGTTTTTATCGCGATTATTTTCTATTTCTTATAGCTAATTTAAGGAATTATTATTTAAAGGTTATCTAAATCTTTAAATACTGTAATTTTGCAATAGATGGTGTTGTATTGCAATTCAATTGAAATAACATATGCATGTATAAATAAATAATATGTGTTATTGTTATAATGTTGATTAGAAATTTGAATGAATGAAGATAAAACTTTCATTGTGGAAATGAGATACTCAATGTTTTCTTTCTTTTTAATCATTTAATGTTGAAGTTTATCGCTCTCACGAGCCTAACATCTTCAGGGTGAAAGCATCCGTTATTCCTTGGACCGGGACTTCAATTTTACAGAAGAATATTATTCTATTTCTCATAACGACAATAAGAGACTGTATATATATATATAATTGTGTTAGACTTTTCCTGCGCGTGTGAACAATTTAATTAATACATTCTTCTTCTTATAAATGGTTGTTTAAAAGAAGCATTTCAAATTTCACGTAGAAAAAAAAAAAAGAAAGAAAAAGAAATTTTTATAATAAATAACAATATATGTGTTGTTATATGAAATATGTTTCACATAGTATATTGTGAAAGTTTTGAGAAAAATAAATAATTGTATATATATATATATATATATATATATATATATATATTTATAGAAAATGTCAATAAAAATTTTATATAATTATTTATTGTTATGGTATTTAGAATGAATTGTAGTCTTTTAATAATTAAAAATAAATAATAATAATTTATGTGAAGTATATTTCATTATATCAAAGAAGTATTGAAGAAAACAAAAT